TCATATATATTGAAAATATATGTTGGAAAATATATATATTGAAAAAAATATTCCAGATGAAACAAAAAAAGATTTAAAGGAAGTATCCCCCTCAAATATTGGGAAATATCCACTTTAAATATTATCTAATTTTCAGTTATAAGACGTCAGAAAAAATTTAAATTTTTTCTGCCCATAGTTCTTGTTTTATTCATTGAAAAATATATAGAACTTTGAATTTAAGGAAAAATGAAGAAAAAAATGGAAGAGTGAATGCACTGATATTTTGAGAAAAGAAATGATAAGAATAATTGAACTCTTATCAAGAGTTTATTAAGAGTTCTTGTTTTAACAATTGAAAAATATATAGAACTTAGAATTCGATGAAGAATGAAAAAAAAAAAAAAAAATAGCAGAGTGAATGCACTGATATTTTCAGAAAAGAAATGATAAGAATAATTGAGCTCTTATCAACAGCTCTTGTTTTATTAATTGAAAAATATATGGAACTTAGAATTTGATGAAAAATGAAAAAAAAAAAAAAAAATAGAACAGTGAATACACGAATATTTTGAGAAAAGAAATGATAAGAATAATTGAACTCGTATCAACAGTTCTTGTTTTATTAATTGAAAAATATATAGAACTTAGAATTAGAAGAAAAATGAAAAAAAAAAAAAATAGTAGAGTGAATGCACTGATATTTTGAGAAAAGAAATGATAAGAATAATTGAATATCTTTTATAACACGTGTTCACGCATCGAAATATTCTTAGCAAATCATTTTTGAAAAATCAGTAGTGTTGTCTGATAGTACGCTTTTGACGAACCACAATAGGATCTTTTAGTGTCCACCATTGTGTCCATCTTGATATGTTATTATTTTTTTTTATTCTGTCGTCTTTCAATTTTTACTGTCAAAGGCCACATTTACTGAAGCGTATGATAATGCTTGTTCGCCATGAAGAGAACATGCGATTTTAACATAACCATGTTCACTTATGAATGGAAAACGATATTAATTCTGATCCATTTTTTCTTGCATAAAAAGCTTTTCAAAAAACCCTTTTTTGTTGCAACAGCAGAAAACGACTAATAATGCACTTTTCATTCGAAAAAAGAAGAGGAATAAAAATAAAAAAAAAGAAGAAAGAATTGCGCGGGAAAAAGTTTTCTTTAGAATGCATGGAGTGGAAAATTTCTGTGTAGAACTTTTTGGCCTGCTTCCAACCCAAGAAAGTTAATGCTTCGGCAGTGTTTCCGAAAACTTGGGCCTAAGGCCAGGTCAAAAGATGTGACTTAACATGATCCATCTTTTCTTCTCCATCCCCTCCTTTTCCATTTAATGTGTTCGATCTTAACATCGTTTTCTTCTTCTTCCTTCTTTTTCGGAACTCTTCCTTCCCCATCTATCGGTAAAAAGTGAACGCAATACCACTTTATGTAATCGTATTACTGGATATTTTTTCCCTTCTTCTCAGCTGGTAATTTCAGTTCGTTTCGCTTTAGTTAAGGTCCAACCATCTTGAAATGAGCTTACAAACAACCAGAGTTAAAAGAATTCAGGATCAGTAAAGTGTGGCTCTTTCAAATCATTTCTTTTATTACTCTAAATGTTGAAAGTGGCTATTAATCATTTCAAATCTTGCGAGTGTTAAGGACGCTAACTTGCATTAGTTTCGAATTTTATTTTCACCAAAAAAATTGACTTTGGATTAAAAACAAATATTATGCAGCCAAAATTTCCGCACTTAGGACAAGGATCTAACTTGGAGCAAAATGGAACTTTTTTACGTTTTGCGATATGGTAATCTAGAATATTAAAGGGTAATGAAAATATGCTAGAAAATGCTATCTTACATCCTGTTATAAGAACATGATATATTTCTTAAAAATGGTAACGTACACAATGGTAAAAGGGTAAGATGGTATCTTACATTAGTTTCGAATTTTATTTTCACCAAGAAAATCGATTTTGGATTAAAAATAAATATTATGCAGCCAAAATTTCCGTACTTAGGACAAGGATCTAACTTCGAGCAAAATGGAACTTTTTTACGTTTTGCGGTATGGTAATCTAGAATATTAAAGGGTAATGAAAATAGGCTAGAACATGTTATCTTGCATCCTGTTATAAGTACATGATATATTTAAAAAAAATGGTAACTTACACATTGGTAAAACGGTAAGACGCTAACTTGCATTAGTTTCGAATTTTATTTTCACCAAGAAAATCGATTTTGGATTAAAAACAAATATTATGCAGCCAGAATTTCCGCACCTAGGACAAAGATCTAACTTGGAGCTAGATGGAACTTTTTAAGTTTTGTGGCATGGTAATCTAGAATATTAAAGGGTAATGAAAATAGGCTAGAAAATACTATATTATATCTTATCATAACATGATATATTTCTTTAAAAATGGTAACGTAGACAATGGTAAAATGCTATCTTGCATTAGTTTCAAATTTTTATTTCATTACAAACTCGACTTTGGAATAAATACAAATATTATGCAATCAAAACTTTAATACTTAGAACAATGATCTAACAAGGAACGAAATGGTACTTTTTACGTTTTGCAGTTATTCTAGAAAATCAAAAAGAAATTATATAATCGCGTTACTGGGTATTTTGTTTCTTCTCGGCTGGTAATTTCAGTTTGTGTCGTTTTAATTAAGATCCAACCATCTTGAATTGAGCTTACAAACAACCAGAGTTAAAAGAATTCTCAAACAGAAAAGTGTGGCTTTATAATTTTAAACGTCGAAAGTGGATATTTATTATTTAAATTCTTGTGAGTGTTAAAGGTGCTATCTTGCGCTAATTTCAAATTTTATTTTCACTGCTAAATTGATTTTGGAATAGAAATAAATACAATGTAGGCAAAACGTCTGCACTTTGGACAAGGATATAAATTAGAACAAATCGATTGGTTTTTTTTCTTGAGGTATGGTAACCTAGAAAATTAAAGAGTAATTACAGATGGCTGGTGATTTCTTTTTGTATAGAATGACATGTGTCTTGAAAGGGATATTTAGATTTATGATTTATTTTATAGGTACAGTATAGGCAATGATTTTTTTAAAAAAGTTATGCAAGTAAAGTTAACTTTTCTTGGTGAGCTTTATTGTTAACCATAGAGGTTTGTAACTTGAAAATATGTTATGCCTGTCAGATTCCACAGTAAGATATGCCACCACACTAATGAAAGTTCTTTTTTAAGATAAATATCACTTTTCAATAAATAGGAAACACGTGTTTAATTTGGAACATTGTCTAAAATTATAATTCAGAAGAAATTGCCGTTTTTAGGTAGTAGACAAAAGAAAGTGAAAGGAAAAATGTATTTTATAACAACCCCCTTCGTATACCGTAGTTTTACAGAAAAACTCCATCCAAAAAAGGAAAAAAAATCATTACATTCCTCTGAAAAACCTTCCTTTCGATTCACTGAAAAAAATCTGTAATTTCATTCCATTGAAAAAAAAACTTTCATTCCATGAAAAAAATCTTTATTCCACTGAAAACCCATCATTTCATTCCACTGAAAAACCTCTTTTTCTATCCACTGAAAAGCCTTAATGTTATTCCAGAGAGAAACCTTCATTTCACTGATTTACTGCAGAAGAAAAAAAAGTAAATTGAAGTAAATTTTGTAACAAAGACAGAATCGGTTATTCCTTATCATTATCCAGAAATGCTACAGGCAATTTCGATTAACTAAAGAGGATGATTATAATTATGCGATCACTTTTTCAAAAGAGTCTGGATAAAAGTCTTGAAGATACTCATCTCTTTTCTCTTTGCTTAGAAAAGCGAAAGTCTGTGTGAATGTTCGCAAAAAACTCGAGAAAGAAAGTACTGATTTGGATCGTGTTTTTTTCTGTAGTTTACAAATTGCGATTAAATGGTTTGTAAGCAAACGCAACTTTGCAACGTCGCGTAGTTTGGATGTAATATCGAAAATACGAAATATCATAGTTGAAACCCATTATTAAAGATTAAACTTTCGTTTATATTTTCGCCGATTGGGATGGCGTTTTTTGTTACTGATTTCTAACACTTCTTCGGATCATTTTGTGACATTTTTCATCTCTGTACGCTAAGTTTTTCGCATGCATTATTGAAAAACGTGTTTTTTTATTGCTAATTTTTTCTAATTTTTTTTTAAAAAAATAGAACAGACGAAACACATAATATAACATAATATGTTTATTCTTGTTCGTCCGAAGAACATTTTAACTTCAGAACGTTTCAGTTTATTAAATTCGATTACTAATACCTTTATTACCAAATATTAATAATAATTATTACTTCTGAAATTCTTAAATATTTTTTTAAACAAAAATTTTTAATTTTCGAATTGTATTTTATTATCTTTTAAAGTAAAATATAAAAATTATGAAAGCATCCAAATTTTTTTTGTCACATCAACAGCGGCTAGATGCCATTAAATTTAAAATAACGTGTTTGTATTCTCACATTTAGGACTTTGATCAGTTTAGTTTTCAAAACGTATTAACTATTAAGAAAAGAAAAACTATTACTATCAAGAAAATAAAAATTTTTAGCCGAAAAAAAATCTTTCGTCTAGGCTTAAAAAAGTTAAAGAAAACTGACTGGCAATTAAAAGTCCATTTAAACACCTAATTAAACACATCATTTGAATGTAGAGACTGATTTTATTTTTTAATATAAATGCTCACTTACTTGATTCTACTATTTTCAGTTCTTCAACAGAGCCATTGAATAACATTATTTTTTCATAATTTTTTTTCTCTTTAAAATGCATTATTTACTGCTTATGATTTGTGTATTCTTTTAACTCTAATATATTTTCACATTTAATGTTTAAATATATAATATTCAATGCTACGAAATTTATAACATTTAATGTTAGTTTCTTTTTGTTGGAACATCTCTAACAGTATAAATAACAAAACTATCATTTGAATCCTTGTTTTTTACTATTTTTTCTAACATCCATGACTTACAAAGATTTCTCTTTTCCTTCTTAGATCCTTCAACTTCATCTTAGTGAACAAATGACGAAAATATTTAGAATTAGAATAACTTTGAAGAATAATTCTTATTAGTTCTTCATGAAAACAGGTATTTCAATATTATTTTTTTTATTAGTCTGTTAAATTTGCAAAGAAAAAAAAACTGTCAGCTGGTGTCCCAGTAAAAAAAATGTTTAGGGGAAGCCGGGCAAGCTGGTCCGCTTAAGGAAACTTGGTTTAAAAAATAGTAAACTAGAGGAATTTCATATCTCTTATATTGTAAACATATGGTGGGAGCATTGCTCTTACATATCTCATACGGAAAATAAGTGAGTAATAAAGTTCAATAATAATAACTTAACATAAACAAAAATAGAACATTGTCCCATCTTGCCCGGGCTACCCGGGCAAGATGGGACACATAATTATATTTCAAAAATCACAGAAATTAATGTCAGAATAAAAGAATAATCGTCAAAAAAAAAAAAAAAACGTTCCTAAACATCACAGTTGCTGCATAAGAAGCTGCCAAAACCGGAATAAGCACTGCACGCTTCATGAAGCCATTCTAAACAATCTGTAATTGAATCCAGTCTTCAGTAACAGTAAGTTATATTTGCTAGTTTATAATTTTTGTTGTTGTTAATATTACCTTATTTTTTATGCTTTTGCCAAATCCGGAGAGTTTAATTTTTATTTTACACTTTTATTCTACTTTGGCTGTCCCATCTCGCCCGGATAGTATATTTTTTAAAAAAATTATCCGCAAATTTGTTTAAACGAATAAGTTTTAATTTTCATTACTCATTATGTTTGTACAACAACAACACTACAGTGCCACATATTTGAAAAATTTATTGCAATGTATTAAACCAATAATAACAGCATACTAGCCTGGAGAAATATTTTAACACGTTGTAAGAAAAACAAAACAATGCTTGCATTTCGGTAACACATTGTGAACTGACTAAAAAACTTGTGCGCATTGAGAACAACAATATTTTCTTTCTGAAAACGCACTTTAGATGTCGTTACCGTGATACGCATAGAAGAAAAAGCGATGTCCCGTCTTTACTAGGTGTCCCGTTTTGCCCGGGCTTCGCCTATTTGATTTGACGTTACAGTTATTTAAAAGAGGACGCTTATTTTCTTAAACAGATAATTACCGAACAAACTGCTATTTATTTTATTTTATCAATTACTACATAAACTGTGTACTGTTATTTTATCAAACAAACTCTTATTTTAAAAAAAAAAACTGTGGCATCAAAAAACTGTTATTTTGACAAATTTTGCTATTTTAACTTTAGAACTTCGTTTTTTTTTTGACAAAAAAAACCTCTGGTATTTATTTTAACATTAAAAAAAACTCTATGAAATAACTCTGTCAGTATTGTGATAGTTGTGAGACAAGAGCAGAATTTGCATGATCAGTCAACGCCATGATTCGAATTCGGGTCACCTCATTATCAGGCGAGCATTTTGTCCCCTGAGTCATCGGAACTCTAGTGTTCGTTTATGAAGAAAAATCTTTAAACTGTCTTTATCTTATCTGTCTTATTTATTGAAATCCTACTCAATTGTAAAAACGTTTAATGCTACACTGGCAAACCCTGGAAATTTAACTTACCGAAAAATTATATTTAGAGATATATAATAATCAGGTAGAGAATCAGTTCGACAATGAAGTTGAATCTCAATTTTATTTATACGATGTTCAAAGCCATAAAATAATTTCTGAAAAGTGAAAGCAAATGTAGAGAATCGTAAAATGGTTTGAAATTAGACTAAGTTATCTTACAACTAGCAAAACTAGAATTCGATTGATAGATTTAATCTATTTATGGTTAGGGTGAAAAACAGAGAAAAATTGTTTCGTGTAAAACAGCTTTAAACCATCAATTGTAGGGAGAAAGTCAGTAAAAAAAAAAAAAAAAAAAAAAACAGTATTTTTTTTTAGAGCGCCGGTAATGATTAAAAAACAGAATTTTTTTCTTCTTTTTTATCTTTAAACAGTTTTTCTTATGTAAAAAATATGTTTTCACATGTTTGTTATGTAAAATTGAGAATTAATTTTTGAAGTGTAAGCTGTCTATTGGTTTCATAGCATAGATAAATAATCATTTGTTTATAGCTTAAGTATTAATTAGCTATATAACAAAGAAAAATAAAGTCAAGCCTAAATTTATTCAGAGCTTACTGTCACTTAATATTTCATATTAATTTGAATGCCACTGTAAGATATTTTCGAATGATTTAATTTTGTAACAATGACTGATAAATAAATTGAATTTTAGGTACTATAGTCTATAAACAATCTTTAATTATTTGCTCATCATTGATTCTCTTTGAATTTTTTTTTTACTTTAACCATTTTTTTAATGTTTCTTCAGTACTGTTAAAAAAGGTTCACGTTATATTCCCATATTGACTTATATTTTATCAGTGAATTTTTAATTTGGATAAAAATTAGCTTAAAAATTTTTTTCTATTCAAAAGGCTTATTTCAGAAAACGGTATATACTTATCGGTTTTTGGATATTGCGTTAGAGCAGGGTTTCTTAACCTGTGGTTCATGAACCCCTAAGGGGTCCATGAGTTATATTTTGGGGGTCCGCTGACTACTCCTGATTTTTAAACGTTTGGAAGCCTACCCATTGCTTGTAAATCGAACTAAGGCAGCTATAATTCCGTTTGCTACAGTGTATCTTTGCGAAGCAGAATTTTCGACACTTGTGACAATAAAAATATAACATCGAAATCGATTGAATGTTGAACATGATATACACGTTGCTTTGTCGAAAACCATCCCCCAATTAAATTTATTAATTAAGGAAAAGCAGCAGCAGCAGCAACCTTCACATTAAAAATTTTAATTTTAAAAATTTTGTATACTATTAAAATAATAAAATTAAATGTTTTCTAATAATTGATGTTTTTTGCAATTATTTTTTTTCGCAGGGGGGTGGTCCATGACTTCTTAAAAAATTTTAAAAGGGGTCCATTATATCAAAAAGGTTAAGAAACACTGCGTTAGAGCATTCTGGGAATCTCATTTGGAGATTTTATTTATTGATATTTATTGATAAGTTTGAAAAGGTTAAAAATAAGCTTTTATGGCAGTCCAAGTCTCTCTGGATGATTTGCTAACACCAAATATTTTTTCAAATTAAAACAGAGAAAAAAAATCCAGCTATTTTATAGATATAAATAAATGGAAAAATACGTTAAATAATTTTTTTTTCTAAATAAATAAATGATGCTTTTAAAAGGAGAAATTTCAATAAAATACGTCAGTAGTTTTACAACTGAAAATCATATAAATATAGAAGTCATATTAAATTGTAAATTTTGACAGTTTGGTTTTGATAAAAATAAATATTTTTTAGATTAAAATGATCCTAAATACAACTTGTGTTCAATATTATCTTTACTTTAAATGGCAACTATGCATAATTAATTGGTAAACTATATATACTATCATAGTATATATCATAGTATATACATATACTATCATAGAATTTCTCTGCTCCAAAATAGGTTTAAGGCACTTGAGGCCCTGACTATGTGTATTTACATAATACACTATAATGAAGCAATGATTATTGATTTTATAATGTTTATTTTATAATAACATTGTAAATTTTAATTTTTTAACTTATAATTATAATTATATTTTTAATAAAAAAAAATACATTGGCTTAAAAATTTTCATTGTCATAGTCAGAAATGGCTAAGACTAGATTTAGATTACGGCTAAGACAAGATTTAAACTAGATGGCTAAGACTAAAGGCTAGATTTATGTGGTATAATTACCGGAAAAATTATTAGATAATCACACCATAAGATAATCAACATCATCTCAATCTGACTCGAAAATTGGAGTTACTAGATTCTACTGTCCTTTTTCTGGCATGCTGCTGAAAAAAGACTGTGCTGATTTCTTTAAGAACTGAAAATGAGGCAAAGTGTAATAGGGGTAGCATATTCAATTTAAGTAAAATATAACTGTCAGCATGTTCTATATTACTAATGTATAATTGAGACAGCATATTCGATACAACAGGAATAAAATTAGGATACCATATTCTATGTAACTAAAATATAACAGAGAGCATATTCATATATATATATATATATATANAAATTGTTTTTCATTATTCGTAGAAGTAAGTTTAAAATCTGCCAAAATAATTCTATAAATTTGAGTTTTATATGAGTAAGTTCGTAAACTATTCAATCGGAAAAAATACTCTAACTGTGCAACGAACTGAAAGACTCAATTCCATTTGTGAAATAAGGAGTAATGCTGACAAATTGTATCTTTTACTGAATTGAAAAAAAAAAATAAAAAATCTTCTGCTTGTCATAAATCGTGTTGAAAACTAAATATTCTCCCCCTAATCCATCAGCAAAACGGAAAAATGTTTAAATCCCGTAATACAGGAGTATCTGTGTGATAAATGAGCCGAACACCCTTTTCAAGTAGATCTCTCCGGATTTAGTTGAAAAATTTTAAAAAGTATTACTTTAGTTTTATTTTTACGGATACCCGCGTTTCCGATGAAAATCGCCAACTTCAACCGAAAGTTCTGTAGAACAGGAAAAAGGATAGTGATTTTCTACTTTTCGAGGAAAATTTGTACCGGATAGTTTCTAACTCTCTTTTTCCACGTTTATTTTAAGTGCACCAAAGATTTTAATTTATAGGCAAATGGTATTTAATGAAATAATTAATAAGAGTCGAGAACAGACCGGGTTTTTTTTTCTTGTCTTTCTTAAAAACATTCTTTAAAGTAAAATATTTTGTTGACTTTGTAATTTTATTTAAGGTTTATAATCTTTGCATTTTTAAATATTTTGGGATAATTGGAATAACATTTCAAATGCAAATTTTTGAAAATAATTAGTATTATGAAATAATTGTAATAAAAAATGAGTTTCTAAAGGTCCGAAATCAGCAAAATGGCTTACATTTGAAGCATAAATGATTAGTGAAACCTAATCACGTTTTATAAGAAAAAGCTTTAAAATACTCATTACAGCTTTAAAGCATATATTATATATCAGGGAACATAGCGTTTTTAAAAAGTGCTTAAAGATGCTTA